ATGACAGTTTATTCTTTTAGGGTGTTACCTATAGGTTGCGATTTACATAAGGTGTGAATGTTGGGTGTGTGTGGCCATTAAAGGCCTTATGAATGTTTGTATATGAAATTATTAATATAGTGGAACATGAACTCGATAGGAGTGTGGTCCCATGTGGACCATACTAAGCAAACTATGCTTGCTGGTACAGGACTGAGCTTTACGAGGTAGGGCACTTTGGTTGGGAAAAACCTATGTTACCTGGGCATAGAAAACAAACTGATAAGGGTTATGATGCGTAGTCCCTTGATGAGGTCGGAGTATACCCGGAAGAGTGAGCCGATTGACTATGTAACCCTTGTGTGTGATGGAGGCCTTCAGATACGGGGTTAAAGCCTTATCCGTGTTGCGTTAAAGCCTTATCCGCATGCTATTACACGATATGCACAATGATAGCTATTTTAGGGAAAGCAAACCACTTCATGATGAAACGTGTGCATGTATGAGAGATAACCCTTATGCACCATCGAGCAATGGATTGCATCAGGTGTGGGTGAATTTGGTTTCATCTCTAAGGGAGAACTTCAAATCTATAAACTGGGACTATGACCCCTTGTCCATTGGCTAGACTTTAGTGACTCGCTAATGATCCCCTATATGAACTATGCGTCATGGCAATGCTCGATCGTTTTGAGAAAGTAAGCATGGACCGTGGTCTACAATAGAAGGTGGAGTGCCCCAATGTAAATTTATTCTTAGACCCTATTAATCATTTTCCCATTAAAATATTTAATTATGTTTGTTATATGATTTTAAAATTGTTATTTGAATTTTTCTAAATCTCTAGATATTTTATTTATCAAATTTGGATTTATAAAAATAGAGATATTGATTTAAAATGATTTTACATTGATTTAAAACTTTAAACATTATTTTATGAATTTCTAAAATTATAATTTTTTTTTTTTTTATATTGCATGGGAGGCCCAATAGATTATATAGGCCTACATGACAATTGGGTGGGGCCCATTGTGTGCCACCTAGTGCAGCATGACCCACCTTAAGGAGTTTCTAATTTGAATAGCTCAAGCTCTTGACTTGAAGGAAAAGAAAGATGTGTTTTGAAAAGCTTGTGCCTTGAGAAAATTTTGAATCAATTTTTGGTATGTGTGAGAGGGCTTGAGCATGAAATAATAAAGCATAATATTATCATATATTGATTTCTTATTTGAATTAATTGATGAGAAAATGGTTTAAGAAGTGGGAGATAATGGTTATAGCACCTTCCATATGATCTTGATGACTTATCTATGGAATTGACGACTCATATCTCTTACCCTACATGTCACCAAAGATCAATTGTGCATATTCAATCTCAAGTAAAGAGGCAAGCAAAGAAAACCTAAGAAACCCTAAACCCCTTGAAACACTATAAAAATGGGATGGACCCTACCTAATATTCTCTGCACCACATATCTTCTCTCTCTGATGAAAAACCCTCTCTCTCGTAAACCCACATAAGGGGCACGCCCTTCTTTTATAAATTACTCGCTCTCTTGAAAAGTTTCTCTCTCTCTCCCTTATGCAAACTAAGGGGCACACCCCACTCTCTTGATCTCTTGGAGTTCTCTCATCTCTCCCATCTCTCATATTATGTTGGGGCTAAGGTTTTAGGGTATGGTAGAAGATAAGCTATTCCTCAACTAGGTTATCAAAGGATTTATGTTCAATTGGTTTGGTTTGACTTAAACTTGCTTTCACGATTGATATTGAATATTGATTATTGATTACACGCCATCGGAAGGTGGTGACTTGGTGTGGGGTATAAGAAACCCGGTTGAGGTAATATTCAACACCTTTTTTTGTTTCTTGCATAGTTATTTATTGTGTATTTTATTCCCAAGCATAGGCATAGGTTGTGTCTTTTTCTTTGTTATTAAAATGAAGATTTTGAATGGCTTCAAGTTCTTGAGATCCTAATTGTATTTTTGTCTTTATTTTATTTGAAGTTGTTTTGTTGTAAAATGGGTACTTGTAAGTGATATAAGCCGTGAAAAAAAAGAAAATAGAAAATAATATATACTCCAGTTAGATCACACAAGTCCTTCTTTTAATCAAGCCATCAACATTAAACGATCAAAACCCTGTCTGAAGATGCAGTTCTAGTGCTAAAAACTACTACAATGGGCTAAAATTTTGACCTATGAAATAATATAAGCCAGACAACCCAAATTTCCCAATTTGGATGACCCATGCTTATTGATAGGGATAGTGCATTTTTGTCATTTTTTGGCTTTTTCTTTTTTTGCCTAGTTAAGGCACACATCCCCAAATGTACGTTTAAACAATAATATATATATATATATATATATATATATATATATATATACACACACACACACACAACGCCCAGAAAACTACCAGATTTTTTCAATACACAATGCCATCGCACTGCTACTTATGTTACCTAGCCACCACTACCACCACTACTACCACACCACTCTTTTCAATATCCCTAAATGACCTCATTTCTTATATATGCCAATTTAAAAAAATAAAAAAATCTAGAGTTGACATATCAAGGATATGCCAATCCAAGCTTGGGTGTTGGGGCAATGTTGCCTATTACCTATCTCTTTTTTTTTAATTACTCTCTATTTTCCCTTTCTGCAGAAAAAACAAGCTCAATCCTTTCCTCCATTTCACCTTTCCCTATCATTGAGAAGCTCAGCCACTCCCCTCATTCTCTCTACTATTTTGCTGGGGCATTTCCCACTCCATAGCAACTATTTCTTTAAGAGAAAGACAACCATTTCCCCCCTTTAATATCCTTTGTCTTTCTTCTTCTTGTATCCATTGGCCATCTCTTTTATCTTCACCTCAGGGTTCCCAAACATTGGGATCTTAAAGAAATTGTGGAAAAAACTACATAAGAAAATAAGAAAAACTTAAGTACAAACTTTCTTTAACAATAATTCCACATTGAGATAGAGACATTGCACATGAAAATGAGGACTTAAGCCCAAATTCTTTGAGCCAGTGAAGTGCTAGAAATCTTTTCTGCGCATTTTAAAACTATACTAATTCAGAAAGATAAAGATGTGTTTTGATCATGACTGTTAATGCAATTTATCTAGGGATAAAGTAATCAGTCCCAGGCTTGAAACTACTATGAAAAAGGCATGTTCCAACAATTTATTCTTTTGAACCTTTCTCTCTCTATTATTGCAAGATGTTTTATCTAATTGCTATGGTCTTTGGCAAACTCAATTCTTCTTCACACTGGCACAACACACACACAAAGAGAGAGAGATATATGTATATACAAGGTGTTAACCTTAAATGATCACAGTAAGGCACATGAGAGAGAGGGAGATACATACAAGGTGTCAGCCTTAAATGATCATTGTAGGGAACACCTCTAAATTTATCTTAAAGATGCATTTTTCAGTGCCAAAAATCCTTAAGATAGTGTAAAAATGTATTTTTACCCCTAATTAAGCTCTAAAAATAGTGCAGATCGAGTTGATTTATAAATGCTTATTTTTTAAAAAAAATAGATGGTTCAGATTGTACATTGCAAGATGCACTACATAGCCTTTAAAGGCATTACGCCTTTCGATCTTAAGGCATGACCTTAAAACGCATTAATTTGGGTCTTGGTGTGTGACCTTAAAACATGCCAACCCCATTTTTGTCCCAGTCGCATAATCTCAATAGGTATTACACCTTTTGGTTTTATTGTAGGACCTTAAAACACGTCAACCTCCAGTTCGGTCTTGGTGTACGACCTTAAAACCCAACCCTAATTTTGGTATTTTTAAGAATAGAAACCTCTTTTTGTTTCCATATCCAAATATCTTGAGATTGAGATGATCGATTAGATTTTTCAATGTCAGAACAACATTTTCAATGGATTCTTGAGGGGCATCTTATTTCTATAGTATAAAATTGACACCCTATATGATAACAACACTTCTAGAAAACCATGTGTGTAGCATTTGTATGGTTGCAAAATTTACACACATACTCTCTTCATCCCAATAGTCAATCTCAAAAAATAAAATTAAATTTTCACTATATGTATGATGAAAATGAGTTCCATCCAACAATGAATGTAGACCATCCATATAATAAATTTCAAGGTCTAGGCTTTTACATATTCAAAATCAATTTTTCTTTTTTAAAATTATTAATCTAATGATAATAAGGCTATCTAATATTTTGAAAGAAAAATGATCATTTTAAAGTCTAGATCTAAGCATCTAATTGAAATGAACATTTTATATTGCTTGGGTTAAAGAAAACTTTCTAAGTTGTGTTTTCACACTTTATTTTTTCCTGATTGTTCATTAGAATAATAATAGTGTACATTTAAACATCAAGGTGAAACCAGTAGCTTTAACATGATTTTTTAATATTATTTTATTATATTATTATAGAATCATTGGTTATTCTAGGATACATCATTCTAATGGTGATCTTAGAATTCCCCTTTATTTGCTAGAGAAAGTAAAAAATACGCCTAGCCATTAAATATTTAATTGGATGGCTTAGGGTGCTTTACAAAATTCGATCATTTTTCTTTATTTTAGAACTTTGAGTTTAGTTAATTACATATAACCATCGATTTATAATGTGATGGACAAAAATGATTCCGACCTTCTTGTATTAAAAATAAATAGTTTATTTATATATTTTTTATGAGTAATAATACTATAAAACCCTCTCACATCCATATAAGCATTCAAAGAATCACCATTAAATTTTGACACATATCTTTGAAAGTTATCAATAACCCATTCATCCAAGTCCCACACCCATGGCATTACCTTTTTTTTTTAAAGATATGTCAAAATATTAAAGCCAAAACTCACGATCCCTATCCTTCATCACTAGCAATAATATTAAAACCACGAAAATGAGGAGCACAAATAATTAGAGTGAGTTAAACAAGCATCCCACTAACAAAGCCAAGGGCACTGTGGTCATGACGGAAAGACATGTGGTATACTGTCATTTGCTGAATCTGTTTCTTGCGACATCACTTCCTCTTTTCCCCTCCAGCCCCTGACCAGACAGGTCTCTTTCTCTCATCTAAAATATCAGCTCTCTCTCTCTATAAAATAGGTCTCTCTCTCCTCTCTGTGTATATCCCGTTCCTTTTAGTTCTTTAATTGGCCCTAGATTTAGGTATTTTCAGTTGTTTAATTGGCCCTAGCTTCCGGTATTTTCAGTTGTTGAAAAATGTTATCCCTCCCAATTACTTATTTCTAGCGACTATTTTTCCCTGTAGTTAGATTATTATTCTCCATTTATTTTCTGGCTTCCTCCTTTAGTCTGATATTTTGGTGCGATCGTGGCTTTCCCACTTATCGCTTTATAATACTTCTATTAGTAATTTATCGATTTTTAATTTGTTGATTTTTAGTTTCAGTTTCTGCTTTTATAGTGTAATTGATTTTTTTTGGATTTTTTTTTTTGTAGGCATGGCTGCTGTTTCTGTTCATTTGTTGGCTCAGTGCATCACTTGCCATGCCTGGAGTCCCGATCACACCAGTAATTACTTTTTGATTTTCCGTTTTGTACTGATTGTTAGCCACTGGAATTGTGAATTCTTATGTTTTAATGGTGGATTAAAGATTTTCCTGTATTATAGCAGAAATATATTGCATTTTTTATGAGTTTCATATGATCTTGGATTTGTTATTCTCTTGAATTTTTGCTAAACTGATAGTAGTATGTGGTTTTGATATCATTTTTCTGATGTGTGTTATGATTTTTGGAGCTTTTATTGAATTGGGGTTACTATTCACCAATTGATAATTTGTCTAATAAATACCGTGTGGAAGTTGAGGTTTCTGTCTCAAAAACTAACGCTATTCTCATTAAGATGTCTCTGACTGTTTTGTCCAATTACTTGTTGAGTGAATTGGGGGAGAGCATGTGTGCTGGCTGAGATATAAAGTGAGATTTTTCATTGAGTGGCACCTAGAATATGATGGTTCTAGGTTTGGTTTTGCAGGACATAGATCTTTATTGATTCTATAAGGTAAAGTGATATGAATGGTCTGTGAAAGAATAAAACAAAGTGGATATGATGAATAACATAGTCTATGGAGAAATAATGGGAGTTTGATGGCTGCGTGTCTAGAGTTGGGTTTTGCGGTTAAATGAAAGATTGATGTAAGAGTCCATAGCTTGATGATTTCAGCTGCTTGATGTCCTCTATATTAAAGAAGATGAAAAGGTTCTAGTTATGAAATTGGGTGAGGATTTGTTTCTTGATGTACCTCTAGGATTCCTGAAATGTTCTCTTTCGAGTCTAGTAACTGGTAGAAATCTACCCATCAGAAAAACAAGGAAAAAAATTGCTAGGATCTATTGCTTATTTCCAGTTTATCGAAGGTAGTCTGTTTTGAATGCTACCATGCTGTCTAAGATGTCCGGATTAGTTGTTCAAATGATAGACTACTTGAAGGAATTAATTGGAGAGCGATTATATGGGATCCAAGGCTTCTGCTGGTTGGCTTTTGTTGCTAGAATCTCTTGGATGTCATTGCTAGTGTCTTCCAGTTCAAGAAAATGTAAGAACCTACAATCCCTCCTTTGATTACATTTGGTTTTTGTATGCTACTATTCAGTAAGGTGCAAAAAATGTGTGGAATTTAGGATGTAGTCTAAGAAAGCATATCATGGCTTGGTATGCAACATTCTGGTGTGACAAAGTTAAGGAGTAAGCTGCAGAAAAATTCTATCAAATTGTTTTAGAAGGGCAAATAAAAATGTGAAATTTATGAAAAATAGAATTACAATTAAAAGCCAAAATGAGGATGTTGAATGTATGGAATTTAAAGAGGCCACTATGCAGGTCATTTCTTCTTTACCTTGACATTAATTAGATGCTCATGTTCTTATGGTTCCATTAGTCTCACATTATGCATGAAGAGCAAGTTGTAGACATTTTCTAAGCTATATGTCCTGAATGCCTTGTTTGATTACATAGCTAAAACGATGGAAACATATGTTCTAGATACTTGATTTCTTCCAAACGAATTCCATGTTTCAGAATTGCTTTCACATTTTGCTAATGCACTTAGAGAGTAAGGTGAGCCAATGACAACTTATAAAAGTTCCTATTCAATAGCATACATGAAGGAACCCTTGGCTGAAGGAAGACCTTATGTTAAAGATCTTATCTGGGATCTATTAGATAGTAAGAGGAACTCCATGATATATGGCTTGATAAAAAATCAAAACTCAAACTGAGGAGAGAAATCGACTTCTCCAAAGATCCCTCTTAAGGGATCAAGCCAAATGGGACACATTTTTTGTTACCCATGATTTATACTAATACCTAAAGTTCATATTGCGAGAGACCCTCACATTTTCCACAGGATCTTTGATCCTATGGGATCTCCTTAGGGGGTGCACTAGCTTTGTAGTCAAATTAGGATATCCATTGTAGTCATTTCATGAATCTTATCACCATCGTGACACCTAGTCACACTTTACTAGCAACTGGAAAATCTCTATGTGGATGTTGTCTGATTCGAGTTGGAAACACTTGCATGGGAACACAAACCCCTAGAAACATATCGAGTCAAAGACATCTTTGCCACTGATGACAACCATTGTGGTTCCAGTGTGGCATCTGCCTTTAAGAATTTTGGGCCAATCCAAAATCATCATTGTAAGAAATGCACAACCTTTTAGGTACTAATACAACCACCCTGGGAATATCATCCCAAAGCCACCCCCATAAAGGTGATGTAACAATGATTTATTATTTTACTTTCTCAAAAAAAAAATGATTTATTATTTTTTATAATAGAATGAAGAAACTTGAAAATGTTGTCATAGAATATATTACTTATTCTTTTGTTTAGAAACAATATAACAATAATATGTGTGTGTGTTTGGGATAAGGCTTTGATGATGATGATGTGTGTGGGTGTCATCTTCATCATCCAAGCCTCGTCCCAACTATTTATGGTCGGTTGCACGAATCCTATTCTGCCATTGCTCTTTATCAATGGCTATACCCTTAGTCAGACCGTGAGTCACCACATCTCTTCGTACTACTTCCATCCATGTCTTTTTGGGCTTTCCCTTTGCCCTTTTAGACCTTCCATTTCTACCATATCGCCTCTCATAATCAGTGTTATTCTAGGTTGACGCGGCATATGGTCAGACCACTTAAGTCTACTTTCCCTCATCTTATCGCCTATTGGAACCACCCTCAAATTTTTTCGCATGTATTCATTCCGAATTATATCATGTCTTGTCGTGCCACTCATCCATCGCACCATCCTCATCTCAGCTATACTCATTTTACGAATATGTTGTTTCTTGATTGCTTAACATTTTGTCCCATAAAGCATGGGTGGTCTTATAACCGTTCTTAAAGAACTTCCCCTTCGGTTTCATTAGTATGTGATGATCACTTAAGACTCTGGAAGCACATATACATTTCGTTTACCCAACTCTAATTCTATGCTCAACATCTTCCTCAATCTCTCAATTCTCATGGATTATTGACCTAATACATCAAAAATAATCTCTTTTAGGTACTTTTTGACCGTCAAGCTTAACTAGTTCCTTGTTTGTACTCCTATTATAACTAAACTTGCATTACATATATTCTTTATTAGTTCAGCTAATTTAAATTCTAGAGCATCACTAAGGACATGGTTGGAAGTAGTGAGAAGCCTCACTGAGGATATGACCCTTAATAAAGCAGAATGGTGGATCAGGATTCGTGTAGCAAACCCTAATTAGTTGGGAAATTTTTTTGATGATGATGATGAAATTTTAGAGCATCCATTCAAAATTCTAACTTTGTTTGATGTGGTCCTATCCCTGGCATAAAACTGAACTGATTTTCTAATTATACTCGTTTAATGTTGTAGTCATTGCTCAATCACTCTCTCCCTCAGCTTCATGGTGTTGCTCATAAGTACCCTCTATAGTTTGTAGGATTCTATATGTCTTTTTTTCACTCGTCTAGCATTTTCTTTATTCTCGAGATCTTGTTGAAAAACTTGGTCAATCAGAATATGCCAATCTCTCCCATGCACTTCCAAACCTTTATTGGGATACCATTTGGCCCTAAAGTATGAATGTATCTATGGCGTCCTACCTCATTTATGTCAAAGTTTCCACTTAACGATGTGCTCCCATAGTTTAACAATTTTTAAAGATAAATTCTCCACCTTTCATTGACCTCGCCATCCTTCACCAGGACCCTCTGATCCTTGCTCTCTTAACCTATATAACATGATTCAGATCCCTACACTTCCTCTGTCTCATTTTTACTAGTTTGAAGATATCTTTTTCGCCTTCTCTTGTGCTCAATTTATTGTAGAGGTCATCATATGCCTTAAACTTAGCCTTAGTATTTTCTTAGCTTTTTTCTTCGCTTTTTATGATCTTCTTAAGTTTTGATCATTTCTATTCCATTGCCAAGCTCTTTTACATAGTCGTTTTTTATTAGTAGATTTTTTATCTTCATCACTCTACCACCAAGTGTCCTTATCTGAATGCCTTTTCTCTGTACATTCTTCTATAATCTCTTTTTGCATCTTTCGTTATGCAATCAACGATTTTATTTCACATAACATTAACTTCGTCCTCAGAATTTCATTGTCATTCTTTTATCAATTTATTCCTAAATAAGTATGTTTTCTCCTTTTTTAAATTCCACCACCTAGTTTGTGCATGTGTGTGTGTGTATGTGTACCATGCACAACTAGAGGTTCCCTGATAGGTAGGATTTGATCCTCTTCTGCCGACTTTGTCCAAAACTCCAAACTGTTCATCTTCTTTTTGTTTCCTTGATGTTGGCCATGTTTGGCTGCTCTTATGAGCAACCGGCTGTAATTGGTTTCCTACCTGATGTTCAAAACTACTATCAATATATGTGCTTTTGGAGAGTGGCTAATGTAAGCTTAGATATGACTTCTGCTAAACATATGTTTAACATACCTATCCACTTACTAAACAAATAGCTCTTACTGTAGTGGTGGTCATTCAAATGTTAGAAGAAAAGGAAGAAGGATGAAGGGAACTGCTGGTGGTCCCATCATTTGAGTCCTTGTTTTGCAGCTCATACATCATTCATAGTGAAGAACTAGAGCTTTTGCAATGTATGTTATCTGAATCATGCACCTATGATTCATGGAGAGCCATGTCTCAGGTCATGTTCAAGATGCAGAATGCTGCCTCTTCCTCATAGTGTGGGACTCGAGATTGAAGTTCTTCAGCATTTATAACTGTGTAAAAGATAACATGGAGGCAAAGATTGCTGGATTTCCTAATTATGTAAACTTTATGTTTTGCATCCTTCTCTCGGTTTTCAACCAGTTGGATTATTGGAGTTTTTTGCTGGTCTCCTATTGAGAGTAGAGTGCGATCTTCTGTTGCAAGTTACTACACATTCTTGGTCATATGGTTCCTGTGGACATGGTGAACCGCATCTTGTTCATCACGTGTTGTGTTTATTTATGGGCGTTTTGTTTGCGGTTAGTTGCAATTACAATGCTTGATCTAAAAATATTAAAAAAATTATGCGAATGTTTTATTTGTGGCACTAGATTTTGGCTTTAATTGAATTTTTAATTAATAGTTCTGTTCTTAAGAATCAAATTTCGGACCATTTTTTATAATTTTCTTTTCTATTGTTTGATTGTTTCCAATTCAGTCATACTCAATAAATTGTCGTTTTATTGATAGCTGTTTCAGCTTTGACATTTGGATTAGACCCACTGCAACTTTTCTCTTGGTTGTTTACACACTTAAAATTAGATGCATTGACCTATAGGAAGTGCTTGTTTGCTTCTCTCAAATAATCTGCAGGTTTGTGCTGGTTTGAAAATATTCTGCCAAAAACAGTGGCACATCTTAAATTGTTATAGACGTGATCTATGAATTTATTTTGTGGTGCTCGCATTTTTCCGAAATTAGATGCATTGACCTATAGGAAGTGCTTGTTTTGCTTCTCTCAAATAATCTGCAGGTTTGTGCTGGTTTGAAAACATTCTGCCAAAAACAGTGGCACATCTTAAATTGCTATAGACGTGATCTATGAATTTCTTTTGTAGTGCTTGCATTTTGCCCAAATAGCAATGAAGTTCATATCTATAGAGTCTTGCCAGACAAGTGGGAAAGGGTACACGTTCTTCAAAAGGTAGATTTTGATATGTTTCTCATCTAAGAAAACTTTTACTTAGGCGATTATGCTTATAGGTTATATGACAAACATTATAAAGTGCAACAATTATAGGTTTGACTTGCTTTATGCTGCTTAATCCCAAAAAAAAAAAAAAAAAAAAAAAAGAAATACACTTGCCTTTTTCCTTTCAATTGTTAGTCATTTCTTTGTTATGATAAAAACTTGCAGTAATTTGTACTGTTGAATGACTTTTAAGTTTATATGCCCAAGGATTACATGATTTTTCCATTGTCTTCCAGCATGATCAGATTGTCTCTGGAGTAGATTGGGGCTCACGATCTAATAAGATTGTAACAGTGTCACATGATCGGAATTCGTAAGGAACCACTCATCTGATTAGCATTTGTTATGGTTTAAAAACATGTGAATGTAAGGTTTTCTGGTCTTTGACCATTTATTTCCCTGATTATCTTTTCAGATATGTTTGGAACCAAGATGGCCCTGAGTGGGTGCCAACACTTGTCATTCTTAGGCTGAATCGTGCTGCTCTTTGTGTGCAGTGGAGTCCCAAAGGTACAAAAACCAGTGGTAGTACTATTCATCAAAAGAAAACAAGATTTTGTTTTTACATAGGAGTTTTCCTTATATGGTGTTTTTTGTGTCACAAGTAGAATTTGAACCCGATTGCCTATCCCTCTGTTCAGTATCGGGATCCGTGCCACCTTATTGACCTGTGTTTTAAAACACTGTTTGAAACTACTTCTAGTGAAATGCAAACTTATTTCTTCTTAGAATTGTTACATGCAATAGGTCCTATGGCCTGTAGTTGTAATCAAGGGCTCAAGTTTGGATCTGTCTTGTGTCATATGAAGTACGTGACTGCGTGCATTTTCCTTGGGTTCTCTCCGGTCTTCCATTGCCACTGTTTTTGACTTGCGCTTTTGAAATTTGTTGATTGAGAAACTTTGAATCATTATTTTCTCTTCCCTTCTTTTCCCTAACCATAATGCACACTTCTTTTTCCTTCCTGCTGCTCCTGGCATTTCTCTTCTTTTTCACTTTCCTTCGCCTGCTTTCTTTACTGTGCTTGTTGTAGCTATTCTCACTCTTAATCTTGCCTTTCCAACTCTTCCTTTCCTGCCTTACTCAACCTTTAGCTCACAGTTGCAGGAGCCTTGAACTGGGGAAGTGTTCCTGCTCTTATAACCAATTAGTGGCTTGTCTGCTAAATATTTCAATATCAATATATATGCAACTTGTAAGTGTTACCTCAGAATCATATGTTATGTATGATGTCCTATTTTTGTTAAAAATTGGGTAATGTTTGGGTTCTACAAAATACTTGGCAAATCTTTTTAAGACTTGCTTGTTTCCAACCCTGGTTGGGTCTCATGTTCCAACACATGGTGCCTGGCCCTATTTGAATTGGGTTGGTCTTAAACATGTATGCCGAGCATGGGCCTAATGCTGTGTCATATATGCTAATTAGCTCTTTACATGCAGCTTTGTAATTATTTGAACTGTTTATCGTGTACACTGGATAACATTTTGAGAATGAATTGTATGATAACCATTAAACAATTGAAATAAGGCATGAAAATCGCTGTTCTAACATCTATAACCTTCATAAGCATGGATGATTTGAAGTGGTGGTTCAGGAAATATATGATGCAGAAATTCTTCCTATCCATCCACTTGTCAGTCTTTAAGCACTCTGATTTTCCCAATTCCTCCATGACATCGTAAAAGAACCCAATTTACTCATTTGTCTCAGCTACATTTCTCTTTGAAATCCAGTCTCTAATATTGGTATCTGAGCATTTTTTTAATTCATACAGTTTTGCAGCTATGGCATCTGCCCTTGGTTCTGCATTGAATGGTGTTGACATTATACACAAACAGTGAAAATGCCATGTTCAGTGAAGTCTTGTTCCTTGCCTCACATGTTTCCTTGAATTTAATGTGTTCCACTTGCCACACGTCTGTCCCAAATGATACAATCATTAATGACAAGGATCTATTCTCTTAGCCTGAACACCATTTCCTTGGAACACTCCCTGTGATCATGATTTTCATGAGAGGTGCACATCCATGGATTCTGTGTTTTGCAGTTGTTGAAGGGTTTTAAATTTCCTGTTAAAATTCTAGATGTTTGTTGTCTGTCTCCTCAAGGGATATTGAAGCCACATATACAGCATCTTAAATGGTACCTTCTCACTTGAGGAGTTACACCCTTCGAGAAACTCTAGAAGTGCTTCTTTGTGAGATATTCATCTTGAACATACCAATAATCACATATAATCTTTTTATTTTTATCTTGTTGAGCAGTTATCTGATCTATTCAGAGATATGACATAAAATTTATGTTATGCTTCGGTTAATTGACCTTCTGGATATAGATTTTGTCATAATTTTCTGGAACAGATATCTAAATGAATTTGCTGCATTTCTCAGAAAACAAGTTTGCGGTTGGAAGTGGAGCTAAAACTGTTTGTATCTGCTACTACGAGCCAGAGAATGACTGGTAACTGACCATTTATTTTTTGCTTCATTTTGTCAGACTGCGATTTGAAGTTATTTTGTCTTCTTTTGTTATCAGATGATGTACTGGCAGATCAAGACAGACATAAAATCATTGTGGTTAGAGCACCTGTAGTTTATTTGTCTCTGTATCTTAGTGAAAACTCTTGTATGGTGGACTGCTTTCTGCACATATCTTAGTTATTTTCTTTGTTCTCTTGTGATTGAAGGATACTTTCTTAACACGATGACATGAATTTGCAGTAGGATGTGTCCTGTCTTGTTTGTGATCCCTGGTTAAGCCTTTAAAGGTTTTTTATTCATATAGCTGGGAATGGCGAATGTGCTCATATGAGCATAGCAATATCCGATTCACTTGGTGCCCTGAGGGGAGAACAGGTCATGCAATCTGTCTTCACAGATCTGAGTTTCTGACTGATGGGCAATGTTACTGGGTCATTTCATTTCATGATAATCAGAGGTGTTGTCTTTAATTCTTCATTGTTACAACCAAATAATTTCTACTCTATGTTGCTTATTACCGTCTATCTCAGTGGCTGACATTTGTGGGTTCGGAGACATTTGGTTGGAGCTTTTTTCAGGCTTGGTAGAGGGTCCTGGGTACCAATAATAACTTACAATGGCAAGCCTGAATTTGCTTTCACATATGGTGACTTATGGTCTGAATAAGGATATGACCTGTAATAGAGCATAATGGTGGAACAAGATTTGTGTAACTGACCTCAAATTGTTGGGATAAGGCTTGGATGATAATGACGATGATAATATTTTTACAGTTTATTGTGTCATCTTGTTTGTTGTTTACTTGTTTCTTACAAATATTAGCAAAACAAGGTAACAATGCAACCATACAATTAATCTTCATATTTTCTTTTTCACTTACTCCTGTGGAATCAATACATTGTGAAGAGAATACTCCACATCATAGTTGTTAGAAATGCCTGAGATTTCAAATCAATTTAGGAATTGGAATATCAGAATTGGAAGATTCTTATCGTCAGAACCGCTGTCCATACAGGGTGCATTGCAGGAAATGAGATTCCTAATTTATTGGAATTGAGTTTCAATCCAAATGGAATCAGGCTCCTACCTCTTTGGAATCAAGTTTCAACCCAATTGGAATTAAAATTCATACCATTTTGGAATTAAGTTTCAACCCAACTGAAATGGAAACGAGTTTCAAACCCTTGGAATTCAGATTCTTACCTCAAAAGGATCGAGTTTCAACCCAATTGGAATCGAGATTACTGCATCTATGGGATTGCAACTTAGAAACCACAACATAAATCAATTGGAAGCGTATTTCACGGGTATAAGTTTCGAGGTTCTAGAGTAAATTTATGCAAGAATAGTTTTTGGCATCTGTTATTCTGGCACAAATCTTTCTTCCCGCCCTTGAAGCACCCATGAAGAAAAGCCTCGTTATAGGTACATCCATGCCTTCCATCTATCTGTTCTTTGAAAGTCTGACCGGAGTCCCAACGTCCTCAACTTATGAATTATCCTAGCAAGGCTTATAAGATAAGGCTAAGCAAAAGCAAACAGGGGGAGCCCCTTTATAACTAACCTAAACCGTAACCATCATAACCTAAGTTGTTCCCCTTGTTCCACTCGTTCGTTGTAGCAAGCAGTAGGAAATGCTTCTGTTGCGAGAGAAGCTTCGCAACCTTCATTTGTCTGTCTTTCCACCGGGTGCTGAGTATGCTTAGCCATGGTTCCCCTGGATTGGAATAGAGATCCTCAAAGTTCTAATGACTAGAACAAGGGTTCACCTGGTATTGAAATAGATGTATTACGCCTCAATCACAATGTTGGAATCAAGGTCAAGTGGCCGTATTACTAGATTTGAGGTTTTTTGAGGTTATGGATTGAATAAGTAGAAATGCTTGATACGTTAGTAATGAAGTTTAAAAAAAAGATATGTATTTTGGGTTTAGTACAATTAGCAAACACTCATAGTCCACTAGGGACATTGAGATGTGTTTACAAAACTACATGCACACTTAATGAATTGAGTCAATAAAGAACGAATATTGCTATTGGCTTTAATGGTCATTTGGAGCCAAAATATGAATGCACCTTCTACCTTGAGATGAGGGTGTCCAGGTAGAGTTGCTTGATGCTTTGACACTTAAATTCCCATCAACAGTGAGGGTTATGGACCTTATGATTTCTAATTATGCAAGGAAAGTGAAGATATGAAGTACTTAATTGTTAATTCTAAGATGGCCCAAGTTGTAGCTCGCTTTAACTTACCTGCAAAGGCCGATAGTATAGTACTTTGTTAAAAACTTGTAAACTCTAGAGATTTGCATTTGAATGTTGATTCAAAGTTCAAAATGCATTGATCAGATTATTATTTATTATATGAACCATGGGATTCAATGTTCTCCAATCCGAATTCTAAATAACTCAGACCGGATTTCATAAATATTTGAAGTGAGATTCCATGTTCATTGAATCTAAATTCCCAAAAAATTTGATTGAGATTCTATGAAGGTGGAAGCAAGATTCCATGTGGAACAAATCACAGTTTCTTACACTTAGGAAGCACGATATTTGATGTTGTGGAATCTGGATTCCAAAAAAATTGAAGCGAGATTCAGTAAATGTGGAATCAAGATTCAATGAATGTGGAATCGAGATTCAATAAATGTTGGAATCAAGATTCTAACTTTACGGAAACAGGTTCCACAAAGATTCCTTGGCGCAATCGCTGAATTGGGATTGCAAAACAGAATTGCCATGATTCTAACTTTAAGGAAACGGTTCCACAAAGATTCATTGACAGAATCGCTGAATTGGGATTGCAAAGCAGAATTGCCACCTGGGGGGAGAGATTTTGGTAGCAATGCTCCACATAGAAGGGAGAGTGCCACGATCTCTTGCTCACACTGTGCTGTGAGTAATCCAGACGTAATGCCTGTCAAATGTTGGGAGTTGACATCAGGCTGTCTGGGATTTCCTACATTGAAATTGTGTTGTTGACTCCAAGGACAGGACGGAATTTAGGGCCAGAAAACAGAAAGAAAAAAAAAAAAACTATGATTGAGTACTTGATATATAGGTGCGTACACTATGCAAACACATGCACCAACACAGTTTCTTCCAAAAGAAAAAAAAAAGAAAAAAAAAAGAAAGATATTGCGCAGACACACGCAGTCCCTCAAATACCACTTAAGGCCCTTGAGCTGCTTACTCACCTTACCAATTGCATTCTTGTATTCCAATCCCTTGTTTTAACTTATTTCCTGTGCATGACCTCTCTCTAGACAGTTAAAAAGTTTGCTTCCATATTGGGTGAATTAGGCAGGCAGCAACATCTGACCCCTCTCCACTTGAGTAACCATTCACTCTGCTGGCTTTTATGGCACATATGGAAAGGACACATTTTTAGCGTCAACTGTTTTGGATGCACTTGTAGCCGTTATGATCATGAAATGTATGGTAAATGTTATTATCCAAAATTTCTTATCGTAGCATTCGAGTTGCTGTCTTTATTGGTTTGAGCATCCAAATTGCTGAATGATGCGAACAAAAGAATTGGTAAACATTCATAGTGCTGCCAACATAAAAACTGATAAGGAATCATAGTTGCTGAGAACATAGTGGAATTTGTAACTGTATGTTTCTTAATCAAATATATTTGACTTATGTAATCTGCAATTTGACCACTAGTATTTCCTCAGGTGGGTGAGTAAGCTCATTCGGAAAAAGCATAATTCATCAGTGACAAGTATTGCATGGCATCCCAATAATGTACGTTTGTGCCATCCTAGCTTTACCATGTTTATCTCTTCTTGGATTCATTTCAAATGGAGGAACCTAGTGTCACACACTTCTGTTTAAAATAGTTGACAAATGTTTTGGATTGTTATCTTCTTATTTAAAATATTTTCTTTTAGATTTCATCAATGCTCATATTAGTGCGCAGTTTTGCTTTGGAATCCTATATGTTTTTCATGCCAACATAGTTGATTTGTTTCACTTTCTATGCATGTTACTATTTTGCAAGCTCATGCTTGCTATGTTAATATGTCATATTTGTTCAGATTTCTCTTCTCCCAAATTGCTTATTCTGCATTAGGTGTAGAGGAATTGAAAATATAAATCTCCTGTTTTTGAAATTTTTTGTGGTGGTCTAAGAACATGCTCTTGTAGCTAATGGGGAATGTGTAATATCATGTTATTTTTTGAGGATATTTAGCATGATCGGTAATTCAGTTATTCATAGTGCTTCTTTGTTTAAGTTCATATTTACTAGGGCATCAAGTGATAGATCGGGGCACCTTTGAGAAAGTTATGTATGTTAGATTTCTTTCATAGCCCTGTTCTGTAAATGGTAGAAGAATGGCCATAGTATATACTAAGTACCAAGAAGAAAAATCACATCATTCTGGTGTTATTTGAAAGTTTATCTTCATAGTTAATCTCAACCTAGATTTCTTATATGATGCTTCTAATTTATGATAGACTGATGATTTGGCAGAAATAATCTATACGATGTGATGGATGGGACATGTAATACATTTATGTTCAATGGCACTTGCATAGTTGCATTAGAGTGTCTGAGTCAATTCTCAGTATCTTTTTCTTTGCAGTGCAATTATAAATGTCATACAGTTCTGTTAGTTTAGCTCTGACAACTTTATGTTGGACCCCAAGAAATTTTTTTTGCCTTGCTTATGGCTGTCATGCAAGTATATGATATTCGGATTTGATTCATACCTTCAATGAGGGAAATCATGGCATGCAATAAAGGGACTCGACAATGATTGGGGTAGCAAAATGCAGAGCAATCTGTTCTGGGACTGATGCTTTCTCTCTTGAGCTATGTTCATGAACAATTGGATACAGTGTGGCTGGACGATGTTATTTCTTATCTCATTGTAGAAATTGTAGTGTTTAATGTTTATTTCTTCTGTTTAAACTTGAGTCTGTGCTTGCAATTTAAGCATGCCTTTAAGCAGTTTTCTATTTCCATTGTCCTATCCTGAATACAGGTTCTGCTCGCAACAGCATCAACTGATGGAAAATGCCGGGTTTTTGCCACTTATATCAAGGGTGTTGATTCAAGGTTGGTATCAGGGTTATTGACAGAAAAGTTTTGTATGAATACTCATAATTTCTGTAGTCATTTAACTTTGAAGTTTTATTTCTACATATTTTGGTGCTGTGATTTTCCTGTGATATCTTGAAGATTAGATCTCATCCTGTTTATTGTGCATATTGGATTAGGGATTCAGTGACAAGTCTTTCAACTGATGCGAAGTTTGGGGAGGTCAGTCTTAGAAACTTGCATTCTTTTCTGATGCAGTTATTTTATACTGTTCAATGCTGATTTCTCTTTCTATCATAGTCTACTGGCTTGAAATTAGCCTTAACTTACCCAGCGAATGAATCATGTCTACTGCGAATTCAGGCTGTCTGAGATTTTTGTGGCAGTGTGCATTGAATGGATGATTTTATCATTACAACAAGCATAAAACATGAAAGCAACTAGAGAGAATGTGAAACCTCCTTACCAAGTAATTGCTCAATAGTCAGTATAAACTAGAGAGGATTTCATAGACGGACGCTCATACACACGGTGGTGAAAAGATTAATGGATTTCTTGCAGAGATCGACTGGAACCACCTGATGGTGTTCTTGATCCGGGAAATGACAGGTTTCCATAAGCATTGCTTTATCTTTTGGAGGGTGATGCATATGAATTTGCTGAATATATCTATTTTTTTGGGTAGTTTGGCAATGGGAATCGACCTTGGCAGGTAGCAGTGTTAAACAAAGTGTCGACTAAAACCTACGCAGCCGGACCCTGGGTGGCTGCCAAGGCAGGCACCTGGTGCCTAGTGGCAGGGTTTGCCCAACCAAAAAGTTGGTTTGAGACTGGTTTCTTGCGTCCTGTCTTCCCCCCGACCTCCACAAAAAAAAAAACTCAAAAAATAAAATAAAAAAAAAACCTTCAGTTTGTGAATTTTTTTAGATCAAAAATATTTGAGAAATCTGTATAAACCTTTTTTTTTTTGGAGATGAGATTGAAGACTAAATCCTTTTTTAACTTCTTTTGTATCATTTTACGTTTGTTACTTCCGCTGTTTTTGTGGTTTTCAAATTGGAACTTTGGATTTTGGAGTGTATTTAGAGATTCGAGTCTATAATTATGAACTTGAGGTTGTGGATTTGTCTGTCATTTCAATTATTTAATATTTGAGTACTTTTATTGCTTTATGAATATGTAAATATGGATGTTATGTCTTTCTTCTGCACTAGTTAACCTAATCTTATATTATCAAGTGAAAACTGAATAATTACAGGTGTGAAATATGATGCAATGATTTCAATTTGTTTTGCAGCATTCAAGCATTTACCATCATTATCATCCACACATATATTAGTTAAAATATACAACAACAATCAAAGGAAAAAGAAGAAAAAGGATAAGGAAGAAGAGATCTAGAGAGGAATGAAGAAGCTGAGAGAGAGAGAGAGAGAGAGAGAGAGAGAGAGAGAGAGAGAGAGATGGATCTAACTGAACCCACATCTTCCATTATAGATACATATATTATTATTGTTGTTATTACTATTATTAAATTTACTAATATACAATGGTGCCCTTAAGTAAGGAAAATGACAAATAAGTTCTTAGGGAATTATATTAATAGAAAGAACCAATGAACAAAAATCATGCCACCTGGTCTCCTAGGTAGCCTAGGAGGCCACCAAAGCAAAGAGGGCCTAGGCAGGGCCCTATCTGGGTTGGTACTCCGGCACTCGCCTAGGCGCTTTAGGGATGCCTATGCAGCCAGATGAAACAGGCCCTCTGTCTAGGGCATAATTTGAAGAGGTGGAGCCGCCTAAAACCCATTTGTGTTCATCTCTTGCTCGAAAAACACCCTAACAAACAAGAATTTGTAGTTTTTAAGATATTTTTTTTTTAAATTTTCGATTTCTTGCAAAATCAGAAAATATTCCATCCAAAACTTTTTGAGACTTAAAAGTGGTTGCAAAAGAGGCCTTTGAGCAACTAGAGGTCACCAATTCGAGCCGAGTTGGATTGGGTTTTGAGAAGTTGGTGTATTTCATTTCTTGCTTTAGGGTTTGGTGATATTTATGCACTCAATCTTGGGGTTTTAGTAACCAACAGAACCCCCAAATATTACCCTCAAGAGCCTAGAGGCCCCCTTTTTTACAGGCCTCCCTTTGTTTGTATGAGCAAGATTTTGAAGTTATGTACCATGTTCTTTAGGACAACACCTTCTGATTTCAATACCCCCACCTTAATCAGATCCAAGTACCTTTTAGTGTCAAACTGAGTATCATCTTACAAAAGACCTTGAAGATATTTAGAACTTCATCTTTGGTCTTCATGTGGTAATCTAGGTACACTGAGCGTAATTATCCACAAATATCAAATCACACATCGCAGTATAGCAGTAACCAAAACTAGATGTAATAGGAAAGGGACCCCAAACATCTGAGCAATGTTAAAAAAAGTGGAGGTGGCACCCTAGGGGGGGGCCCAGACACAAAGGCGGCCCTAAGGGAAGGGGTTGGGGTGGGGTCCATTTGTTGTTTTGTGTGTGTGTGTGTCTATGTGTTTAGTGTGTATGTGTGCATGTGCACGTATGTGTGTGCGTGAGGTCTCACATGAAATTCTTAAAAATCATCATCTTTTTTCGTTTTTTTTCTTTTGGATCTATATTTATGAGAGAGAGTCTCGAACACTTGGAGGATATGTCGAGAGAGAGAATGTTTAGTATGTATGTGTGCGTGAGGTCTCACATGAAATTCTTAAGATCGCCCTGTTTTTTTCATTTTTTTTTTCTTTTGGATTTGTATGTGTGTGTGTGTGAGAGAGAGAGAGAGAGAGAGAGTGTTAGAGAGAGGGTCCTTGCATCGAACACCTGGAGGTTTGGGTCCATGTGTATCTTCATGAGTAATTAGTTCTTCTTCTTACATGTAAAGAGGGACCATATGGGTCCCATGTGTATCTTCATGAGTATGTGAGAGAGAGAGAGAGAGAGAGAGGCCGCACAGTGAACACTTGGAGTCCATCTTCTTCTTCTTCTTGTCATATGTAGAGAGAGCACATGGACCCGAGAGAGAGAGAGAGAGAGAGAGAGAGAGAGAGGGCAATACCAAGCCTTATTTTTGTTTGGGTGGATTTAAATTTTCTTTTTCTTTTTAGTTTTATTGAAGAGATGGCACTAGGTGGGCACCCGCTTTGACCGTCTTAGGCATATGCCCGCCTAGACCCCACCGCCTAGGCTATGCGTTGGTAGTTTGTTGGCCAAGCCGCCTAGGCAGCAAGGCAGTCGAATTTTCATTCATTGCATCTGAGTGAGCAATAGCAAAAGAAACAATTGTTTTGTTATTACTCGGTAGAAAGAGTTTCTATAATGTTTTGACAGTTCACATACCTCACATTGAAGCTTTAACACACTTCTTGAAATAAACACCTCACGAAACAAAACGTCCGATGTATGAAAGGATAAATACCAAGATGGAGATGCCACTACCAAATTCAATCTTTATTAGCGTTGGTGTTGGACTGAATGCAGAGACCACTAGCTTCATGACCACTATAAATTGTCTTCCTCGTATCCAGGTCCTAAAAAACACAATGGGAAGGAAAGAATGTTGTACTACAATTTAGATCTTGGTAATGCTACTAAGAGACATTAAGTTTGTGGGAAAGCGAGGAACATGAAGAACTGATGACAACGACATTTCGGGAGAAATATCTAGAGTTACTTTTCCAGCTATAAACGAAAAGGATCCATCAATGATCTCTAACTTTGTCTCTACTAAAACACAGGGAATAAGAAGAAAACATGGAAGACATACCAATCATGTGAACTGCGGATCCTAAATTAATAATTGAGGACTGTCTAGGCAAAGTTAGAGAGGTGTGTGTAGAAGCATGAATACCTGAGTGTGCATAGGATGAAGTAGAGGAAGTGGATGATCCTCCTAATTTCGGTAAGGTTCTCAATCAACTCTTTGGGAACCGGTATCGTCTTCTTTGGAGCAAAAAGTGGCAGTTGGATTGCATTGGGTAGTGACTTCTGATCCCCCAGAAGATGAAGCATTGTGAGCATTAAACCTACTTGGATGGTTGAATGTAGCTGGCTGACCAACTTGATCACAGCAAGTTCTTTGATATGACCATTTCTACTACAATAGTCACATTTCAACCTACTTTTATCTCCTTGATCAAGACCCCTTTTTCCAAATTTCAGAGGTCTCCCCCCCTCTATTTCTTAGGAGATAAGGAGACTAAGGCGACAACAGAACGATTAATTGCTTGAGCACACAGCATGATACTTTTTCTACTCTCCTCACTTTGGACAAAGGAATACTCCTGGTTGAGCAACGACTAAAAATCCCTGCTGTCAATCCTCCCAAGAACTAAAAACATGATTTTGTTCCACAAACTGCTTGTATTTCTTCTCATCATCCTTACTAGTTTAAGCATCTGATACGGGCCGAACTTCTCCCACATGCTACAAAATAAGGAGAAATATGCTGCAAGTGAACTCTCCCCTTGTCTAAGATGAGAAATTTCTTCCCTCAGTTGGTACACATGATCCATATTTTTGCTTTTAGGGTAATTTTGGTATGCCTAGCATCAAATCTCCGTCAATTTGAAGGAACAAGGAGCCCTTACTAGTTGATGATTGCATGGAGTGTAATAACTAAGACATTACAGTTTCCCACTTTTTATGTGAAGAGTTCAATGATCTTCCCATTGATGTATTCCAATTTTCCCCTTCCACCAATGAATTTTTTTAGTAGGCTATGACCACTCTAAATAATTTGTCCCATCGCTTTAGTTGTAACCTACTTCCAGGTTTATCTCCATGAATATGGGAAGTCACACATGGGGTACTAGAGATGGTGGAAGAGTGGCCTCAATCGCTATTACTAGACATTTGACCTCAGTACTGCTGGAACGTTTCAAGTGAACACGCTGATCAACACAAGCCACTCAAATTCACTTCCAGAAGGGATCTGAGACCATCCATACAACTCCATAATGATCAATGAAAGAGTTGCACAACTCTCAGACAAGGGTGTGACACCTTGAAGGGGTTGAACATCAAGCCATCCCAACCTGATCCATGATTTCTTATCCAACATCAAAACAACTGTGAGATCAAGGTTTTACATTCCATACCTTTTTTTTAAGATTTAGGGTCTCTGACTACATAACAGATGGAGACCCTCATACTGTAAAATCACATCGTTAGGGTTTCAAAAATCCATCCCAATGTCTTTTACTTTAATACCAAGTTTAATATACAATGTCAATTAAAGGAAAAAGAAGAAAAGGATAAGGAAGAAGGGGATCTAGAAAGAGGAATGAAGAATCTTAGAGAGAGACAAATCAAAGGAAAAAGAAGAAGATCTAGAAAGAGGAATAAAGACACTTAGAGAGAAATAGAGAGAGTCATGTTGAGAGGAGTGAGAGAGAGTCATGTTGGGTCAAACTTAACCCCAACACCCCTCTCTTTCCTTATACATATTTAAATTTATTAATGTACAATAGTGCCCTTAAGTAGCAAAAATGATAGTCCTTAGGGACTTTAATACAACAAACGAACTTTAAATATTAACAACAATGTTTGCATATATATATCGTTAAAATAAATATAAGAATATTTCCTCAAAAAAAAAAGAATGCTTAAAAATTCATAAATGAAATGGATATATGCATATATGTGCATTTGGAGCGCACATGCATGCGTATATTGTTGTCAAGTTGCTTAGAATCCCAGGTTCCCACCTGTTGCTAGTCGCCCAAATTGCTTGGGCACCACCCGGAGTTTTTCTCAACCTTAGGAGGTAGTGTTGCAATGATAAAAAACTAACAAATACCCGGTATTTCATATTGTATTGAAACTGGTGCTCAAAAAATCACTGAATTTGGATCAGGAATAGCAGAACTATGCTGATTCCTCATAGAAATCAATTGTTTTTCGATTATATTGTACATAGTATTAAGTACTGTGCCAAACTAAACTGAAATAGCTTAGTTGGATAGTAGTAGCGGTTGCTTATTGCTTATTTTGGGGTTCAAACCCCTTCCCTTGCACTTTACAGCTTTAAATCCTTTACAATTATTCTTCTTTTTTTTCTAGATCACCAATCTTGTCAATGCGGATTGCCGATCTGGCTGATCCTCGATCGAGATTGGTGAGTGGATAATCTACCCCACCGGTTTGTTATTTAAAACATTGTTTGGAACAATTTTCTTCACAATTAACATGTAACCCTCCTTAACATGACTTACTGGGTATGACCTGTTACTTTTGAGCTTCCTATTTATTCTTATCAGAAGTTTTTATTCGTAATTAATCATCAAACTTCATGAACAAAATAATAATGGCGAATGAAACACTAAAAAATAATGGGGAAGGAAAACACCAGGAAATAATCAGGACTTAGAAAATTTTGAAAAATCATTAGTTGAGTTAGTTTGTATGTGTGGAGATGTACATTGAGGTCTAAATAGTGTAAGGCAGGCTCATATGTAACTAGGTAAGTTGCCAGCCATAAAACATGGATACACTTATGTGCTGTAAATGTTTAGTGGAATACGTTAGATTTAACTCGCAAAAGAATTAAGGAGAAAAACTATTGGGATAGGAAAAACTTCACAGTATTATATGAAAAAGCACACTATTATCTGAAAATACAGAGAATAAATCTTCTCTCTCTCTCTCTC